TCAAAATCGCAGGGTGAAGGTCGTGGGGTGAAGGTCGTGGGGTGAAGGTCGCTCGTCGTGCCAAGGCTTTTAATTAAGAAGGTCTGTTCTGTTCATAAACACTCCAGTATCAAGGTCTCATGTCTCATTCATATTATGAATCCAAAAAGTTTCCCATACTGTTACATCTGTGTTACCGTGAAACCTTTCTTAAAACCTTTTGTGCCAAAAATATGGAGTATCTAATATTCAAAACTTGGCTTGAACACATTCTTCTCTACAAAACACTTGTAACGAAAGTAACTGTAAACGTAGACGCGTCTACCATTATGTATCTCTCTGTATGTCAGGCATACACACAGACATCCCATCCACCCCATACCAACACAGGCTTAATTCTTCAGCCTAACCCGATCCTGTGCTGAGATAAGCCTCAGCCTTCAATACAAACCTACATTAATAACATAACTAACACACCTACATCACTAGCAAACATGACATAACGAACGTGAAATGCAACACTCGCATGTATTGCTATTGCTCACACAGATCATGTTAACTGCCACACGTTCTAGGCAAGAAGTTCCTACCACGGTTTGCCGCTTCTCTCGATTTAATTACCTGTACTGCCATTAGACTGAAGCCCACACTACACAAACGACATCAAACTGGCAATATCAGTTATTAAAAAAACAAACTTTCAAGGTTTCATTTTTTTTTTCTCTCCGGCCATATTACAACAGTTTTTTTCCCATACCTGACTGAAGAGCTAGTTGTCTCCCTTGTTTCGTGTTACTTCCTTCCCTTGAATTAAATTAAAAAAAAAACAATTTTTTTAGTCGTGTAACTGGCTAACGTGTTGTGTTTTTGGGACGTCTGTCTTTGAATTCCTTTACATGGGAAAAAGAAGCGAATTGGGTTACATATGCGTATTGTCATCTTGTCGTTCAGATATCGGTTAGATACATGGGTTCTAATCCAACCTAGCCTTTCTGTTTTACCTGCAGATATTTTAACTCTTGTCTAAGAGAAGCTGCGTTATGTTCTGTGTCTTTATATCATTGCACGCCGCATTAACATTGGAGCTAATGAACTGGAATCACCAAAGTTGTTGACACATGTTGGGTTGGAAAATCCTGGCAAGATTTTCTCAGTCCGCTCGATTAACTCGGTCGTCTGCCGCTAAAAGACACGTGGTCTTCATTTGTAGACGAGAACAAAAATAAAACAAGATTTTGTTCTTTTAGAAAAAATAAAACACAAATCGATTTTCGTTAGGTCTGCATCGTTGCCAATAATAAAAAAAATTGAATTTGTTTGGAATGCTTGGTTAAACAAAAAGACAATTGTTTTTGTGAATTAGCCGCCACCTCATTAAACGGATGCGTGTAGAGGCCACGCATGCGCACAGAGAGGAAATACAAGACCCGTGTCTTTTGAGGGTAGAATGTAATACCAAGTGTGCGTCCATTGCCATAAAAACGAAACACTGTGTCTTAAAATAGAACAACTAGTAGTTAGCCAATCAACGAGGTTTTCATATTCCCAACACCAGCTATTTTTAGAAAGGTTCAAAAGTCTCGCTGTCCGTTCCGACTCCCAAATATTAAACAAAAAACCAATCTCGTATATTATACGACACTCGCGAGAGTTGGACGCCTTCTCGCTGGATTCTAATCACGTGATGAGGGCCAGCGAAGACACGGCATTGTTGAATATTAATCAACTTCCATCAGAGGTCTCGACTTTTGGACATTTCGCCAGCATGCGTTGGAAACTCAACAGCCAACTCAAACTATAATATCCGTTATTTTCAGTAATGCAGAGTTCATTTGATACCTTGAAACAAAATATCTTAAAAGCGTTCAATAATCTCTTCGACGAACGGCCATTGAACTTTGGCCCCGTGAACCTTGAACCCGAGTTATGGGCTATCATATTAGCGAAGAGGAAATGAGAGTTGTTTTGTTTTTTAAACTAATTGGATGCGCAGTGCCACTAGCAGAGCTAAGATTTTATTTTAGTAAAACTAAGAGGAAATCGAATTGAAGGGCAACTTAGTGGGAACATTTTTTTTTAGTTTGCCAAACAAATTATGCGTGGAAAACAAAGACGTAAACTGTTTATTAGGTGGATGATTTTGGATTACTGTTATTTTTGTAAGCAAATGTGCTGAGTTTCTTTCAGGCTCCTCTTCATGAGCACCTAACGATCCGCTTCCCCCGCCTCCCTGGACAAAATAGAATAAATATGTAATTTATAAATAAAAGATATACTATGACTAGTGTCCCCCTCCCACCCCGTAAATTTTAAGATCCTCCCCTTGGGAGAAAACAAAGTCTAAAAGGAACCCTGCAAATGTGTAGTTTTCAAGTATGTATGTACTAAAGTAAATATTTTAATCTCGATGAGGATAAATAAATAAACAAGCGATTTGTTGTTGATGTTCTAAAATGATTGGAAGGTATAAACCTAATTCATGGTGTATTAACTTGATGTGAATGGCTCCAAACATAATTTTTGCCCACGAAAAAATGACTTTAAACGGTGAACGGTGACTGTGAACATAATTTTAGCCAACGTAAAAATGACTTTAAACGTAGACTGTGAACATAATTTTTGCCCACGTAAAAATGACTTTAAACGGTGACTGTGAACATAATTTTTGCCCACGTAAAAATGACTTAAAACGATGACTGTAAACATAGTTTTGAACACTGTAAAAATGTTTTGAACGACAAATGACCGAGCACCGCTACAACAGACTGTATCATCGTGTTCCCATCTAGCGGTTCATGTTACTTACTGATTTGATCAAGTTTTGGTCAGAAATTAATGAAGTATTTATTACAATATTTACTTTAATTACCTGGTTAATTACGTAACGTGATCACGTGGCCCACGAGTGAGAGGAAGAAAAAGGGATGGAATGGGAGAGGGGGAGGGAGAGTTAGATAAGTAGAGTGAGAGAGGGGGTGGAAGGGTTGGATAGGTAGAGAGGGGAGGGATGGATAGGGAGAAGAAGAGAGGTGAGGGATAGATAAGTAGAGTGAGAGAGGGGGGATGGAGGACTAGAGATAGAAAGAGGGAATGGGGTGGATATGGAGAGGGAGAGATGGGATGGGTGTAGAGGGAGAGAGGGAAGGGATGGAGAGCTAGAGAGAGGGAAGGGATGGATACGAAGATACGGGAGTGTTGGAGAACTAGATAGAGAGAGGTAGAGAAGTGGTTTTTTTTTCACAGCGCACACACACACAAACGTTGTATGTTGTATTGATTTACACCGCCTGTTGTCATACGTCTAGAACCTCCAAGACTCATATATTCATTTTACTCCTGTAAGATATATGGCGAATTATCCAGCAGGCCGTGGTATAAATTGTGCAATATATTGATTTTCCCGGATCTTACCCCGAAGTCAGCCTAGGAAGAGTTTGACCACATAGCCTCAAGACTAATCTCTCGCTTTAATCAGAGGGTTGCCGCCCCTGGTTCAATCAGAGGGTTACCGCCCCTGGTTTAATCAGAGTTGTGAGCCCTATTGTTACAAATATAGTCGCAGTACCTTCGCTGATTAGATCATGTGTTGGCACATGTGCCTGAGGTGATACCTAATGACGAGTCGTGTAATTAACGTCTACCAGGGATCCGTTCTCTCTGTGTTCAAGTGGGACTGGTACATGCACTTAGCGAGAGATATATTTTGTTGAGCTAATGTAGAGACACCCTCATTGAAATAGATATGGAACAACCAACTTAGGCCAAAAACAGAACCGTCCACAAAATGTCAACAAAAACAGAACCGCCCACAAAATGTCAACAAAAACAGAACCGCCCACAAAATGTAAACAAAAACAGAACCGCCCACAAAATGTAAACAAAAACAGAACCGCCCACAAAATGTCAACAAAAACAGAACCGCCCACAAAATGTCAACAAAAACAGAACCGTCCACAAAATGTCAACAAAAACAGAACCGCCCACAAAATGTCAACAAAAACAGAACCGCCCACAAAATGTCAACAAAAACAGAACCGCCCACAAAATGTAAACAAAAACAGAACCGCCCACAAAATGTCAACAAAAACAGAACCGCCCACAAAATGTCAACAAAAACAGAACCGCCCACAACATGTCAACAAAAACAGAACCGCCCACAAAATTTCAACAAAACAGCCCATAAAAAACAACAATCAAAACAGAACAAACAGCCCCAAAATGTAAAGCTAAAAAAGAACAAGAAACAACACAACCTCAAATGACCCAGTCGACAACATAATGACTGACAGTTATTTCACGTTGCATGATCCCCTGATGCCATCTCGTACAAGCCGTCACTACATAACCTTCTATCTGAGGGTGATATTTTATTTTAACCCTATACTAGCCGTCACTACTTAACCTTCAATCTGAGGGTGATATTTTATTTTAACCCTATACTAGCCGTCACTACATAACCTTCAATCTGAGGGTGATATTTTATTTTAACCCTATACTTGCCGTCACTACATAACCTTCAATCCGAGGGTGATATTTTATTTTAACCCTATACTTGCCGCCACTACATAACCTTCAATCCGAGGGTGATATTTTATTTTAACCCTATACTTGCCGTCACTACATAACCTTCAATCTGAGGGTGATATTTTATTTTAACCCTATACTTGCCGTCACTACATAACCTTCAATCCGAGGGTGGTATTTTATTTTAACCCTATACTTGCCGCCACTACATAACCTTCAATCTGAGGGTGATATTTTATTTTAACCCTATACTAGCCGTCACTACTTAACCTTCAATCTGACAATGATATTTTATTTTAACCCTATACTAGCCGCCAGTACATAACCTTCTATCTGAGAGTGATATTTTATTTTAACCCTATACTAGCCGCCACTCCATAACCTTCAATCTGACGGTGATATTTTATTTTAACCCTATACTAGCCACCAGAACACAACCTGTCATTTGTTGACCTTAATATATCGTTTTAACCCTGTTTCTCTGATTTTGCTTGCAGATTACTATAAGCGGAGCAGCCTTAATGAATTAATCCGGCGGCTCATGCAAATGAGAGGGAACACCTACAATGGAGGCCGAGCGTCCTTGCTGAGATTCGGAGCAGGAAAAAGGTGAACAAAAGTACCCAAACACAGTGCGACTCGGGAGGTGAATTGCAGGACTGAATAACCGTAATTGAAGTGACAAGAACAGCTAATGACGTAGTAACTATAAATAGAACCAGATGCTGTTACTAACATTTTGCATTTTCGTAACTTTTTTTGTTACTACAAGGTCTGAACAAACTTTAAAACATAGTTTTTCAAAGACAAATGCTAACACGCCTAAATTTAGATAGAACACGTATATCATGCACACTGAGGTAGAGAGAATAGCCACATAAGCCTACACAAGTTTTATACGCAAGTATCTTAACAAAAACACCCGTCTTTTCTATTCATAGTAAATAATTCAAAATGTATGTGGCTGAAATCTATTGCCTGAACTAGCCATTAATCTTTGGGGTCGTACATAATAGAAGTCAGGCTTTCTAACTCGATTATAACCAGTTCCCATTGACAAACCGTCAAAATGAATCAGCCCCCCTCCCCACGTCACGTCTTAGCCCAGCCCCCCCCCCCCACTACTCAAATGTGTAAAATTTGTAATCTAAAGTAGCCATTTCTTAATTAACTAGTAACTGACTTCGGTAAACATAGGGTACAAAGATCAATTTTTATTATTATTTACAAAACAAAGATAATAATGAAAAAAAAAAAAAACGCGGCTAAAATCAGTTTCAAACAGAAATTTTTCAAATGCAATAGTGTGACGTTATTTTATGACCTTTCCCCGCCCCCTCGTGTCATACACCGTCACTAAAGTCGGTATCCTCCCCCACCCCTTCTGAGCATGACTTTGTTTATGTATGACCCCTTCAAGCCAGCTATAGTTTTAAAATGATAAAAAAGTTTATTTTGCCATTGTTTTCTTTTGTTTTATAGTTATTTAACTGTTAGACAATTTGATCGAATGCCAATCATTGAATTCAAACGGGTAACTCTAACTACCAATTTGAGTTAGAAATTATATTGTATTTCATGAATAAAGTAATTGATACGATTTCAAATGTTTTTTTAACGAAACAAATCTTGAATTAGCTGTGAATTAAAACATAGCTGTGTGTTCAGGTCAGCAATAAGAAGCCATTGGTTGGTTCAGCGTCTATGCAGAATTTTGATTCGCTCGATATTAAACTATACAACGGTCAAATGGTGTTTCTTGGTTTGTTCACTGGTGTGTGGTGTGTTATCTTGTTGTGTGCGGGGGATGATGTGGCTGTGGTGTACAGTAGTGTGTGGTGTATTGTTTTGTGGTGTAGGGGATGGTGTGGATGGATCAGTGGTGTACAGTAGTGTGTGGTGTGTTGTTTTGTGGTGTGGGGGGGGGTATGTGGCTGTGGTGTACAGTAGTGTGTGGTGTGTAGGGGATGGTGTGGTTGTTGTACAGTAGTGTGTGGGGGATGGTGTGGATGGATCAGTAATGTACAGTAGTGTGTGGTGTATTGTCTTGTGGTGTGTGGGGGTAGTGTGACTGTGGTGTACATTAGTGTTTGGTGTACTGAGCTTAAACAGAAAGCTAAGAGAGCTGAACTAACAGAGCAAAGCTAACATAACTAAAGCAATAATTTGAAACTGCTATGTCCAGATTTCTCAAGGGGCTTAAGCAAGAAACTGCGATCTCATGTTCTTGAGTAAAAAAAAAACGTTATTAAATTTCGAATTCCCATTGAGATTAAAGGCATGAATAAAGCTTTCTTTATCTTGAATTAAATCTGTGATATTTACCATATAAAAAAAAGAAGGAATTAATAAAAACAAAAACACCGTCTTTGCATAATTTATCACAGAAATTACAAACATCCTAAGGAGACACGTTCTGCAGAGAGGTCAGTGTTTCTTCCAGACTTTTTTCTCCGGGGGGGGGGCACTTAAAATATTCGGGGGGGGGGCGGTAAACTTTCTTCGGGGGGGGGGGGCGGACACTGTTAAAAGTATATATTTTCTATATAAATTATATAAATTTCATTTCGTTCGGGGGCGGTAAAAAATTTTCGGGGGGGGGGGGGGGGGCTTAGCCCCCCCCCCCCCCCGAAGAGATGCCTGGAAGAAACTCTGAGAGAGGAGGAAGCAGTAGGAGCATCCCCCCACTCCCCCTGAGCATTTTAGGACAGCAACGCCATGTGCTGAAAATTAAAATACAAAGTCAGTGATGAATAACTAAATAATGAAGTGAAAAAAAAATGCATAAACACATTTTAATAACAAGCTTTTATGTAATAATGCACCAAAAAGGAGGAAAAAAAAAGAATTTCTTTAAATATATAATAATACACTACTATTTAAATCACCATAAAGAAAAGTAGTTCCGCAACAGGTGGGCGGATGTGTGTTTGATAAAAAATAAACCGGGAGTGATCTCCCCTAAACTTTCTCGAATATTCTTATATAACACTACGGGGGATGGCAACTCGGAATATAGAAATGATTCTTAATTACTTATAATTTTTAAAATAGAATAGAATCTCGTAGAAAAAAATAATTGCGCACCAAGCGAATGCTAAATAACATGTGTATAATAGTGCGGAATATTATTTAATTTTTTTATTAGTACTTTATAAATTCACATGCGTTTTTTTGGAAAATCGGAAATAGCGTAAATTACTACTTCCGGTCAACGCAAAGTACTCAAAATTTGATAGAAGGCAGAAAAGTAAATTTTTTACTTATTTGTGAAATTTTGTTCATCTATCCGAAACAGAACTCAAGTTATAGTATAGGCTTTTGAAAAATCAAAAGTAGAATAAATTCCACTTCTGGTTAACGGAAATCGCTGTAAAGTTTATACAGAACTACAAATTTGATATAATACTTATACATGAAATTTCAACAACCTAGCTGTAACGGTGTTCAAGTTACGTGTTTACAAACACGCATACACACATAGGCCTACATACACACACACACAGACATACAGACACAATTGCAAAACTATGATTTTCCGATTCGGGGAGGTGTAAAACGTCGAGATTTGTAAAAATCTCAATTTTTATTTCATGATTACAATACTTTCTATATACTTCGTATAAGAGAAAGTAAAAATATATTGACCTAAAACAGAAAGTTTATAGAACTGAGCCAACAGAAGAAAGCTAAATATGTCGTTTAGGTTTGGGGCTAGGTCTAGGGATAGGGTTGGGTTAGAGTTAGGGTTACGTTTAGGGATAGGGATAGAGATTTTCTGTTCATTTTGTATCTAGTATTTTATTTTTTGACTGTTTGTTATCTAAGACGTTTGCATTTTACACTTTGCATGAGATTTCATACTCTGCCTAAAAAGGAAAGGGATTGTATACATTGCCTAGGCATTCTATAGTCTATAGTAAACCGGGTTTTTCATACATTGCCGGTAATATATCTATTTTGAAACAACAAACCACTCAGAAATAGGCAAAAACTCATTTTTGAACAGAAATAATCAAGTTTTAACAACATCTTTATATCATTTCCTTTTTTTTTAAACTGGCAAATAGTTTATTTCTGAAACAAAATACAAAAGTAAAAGAAAATGGGAAAAGAATCAATATAATTGTTTGAATAGTTTTAAGTAGTAGAAGATTGAGCATATTTTAAAGCTTAAATTTTTATCTTTTTCAGTAGTACAATACATCATATGTAAAAAATGGCATCAGATCTACAAATAAAATAATGGAATGCTTAAAATGATCTTACATTTGCTCCATTTTTAGCAATATTTACACCTTCATGTATACATACTCAGAGGATTAGGTCACAATACAAAGTTACATTATCCATAATAAGTTTACTCATTTACTTGTTAGGGGTCGTCCATAAATGACGTCATACTCACAGGGGGGAGGGGGGGGGGGTCCGTAATTTTGTGACGATGTGTGACGAGGGGGAGGGGGGGGGGGTTCAGATGGTGCGACGTCACACTTTTACATTATAAAAAAGCAATGTTAGAAAACGAATTTTAGACGTTATTTCGCGTTTTAGAAAACTGATTTAATAAATTGCAATGGAAATTGATTAAAATACTCTATTTTGACAGAGTTCAGACAAGATTTAAGAAAAATATCGATGTTTAAAGAAACATTCAACTGCAATTTTTGGGGGGTTGTAGGCTGAGGTGTGACGTCATTTTAGGGGGGGGGGGGGGTCTGGCTTTTTGTGAGGATGTGTGACGGAGGGGAGGGGGGAGGTAAAAATCGTCCAAAAAAGCGTGACGTCATATATGGATGACCTCTTACATAACCAATATGCCTGCTCCCAACAAAATGTAAAAATTAGCATTCTAGCAAATAAATAATTTGGCTTATTACCACACTATTATAATTGCCTAACAGTCATTTGAATACAACTAAAAAAAAATTAAAATTATGTATATATGAAGAGTTGATTTTCAAAACGCGATAAGCGCCATTTTTGAAAAAAATGAGATAACGTGCCCATATTGTAAAGCTACTCAGTTACTATTAGGAAAACTTAATTTTAATCTTCACGGCGCAAAATTTTCATTTTATTTCTATTTTGTAGCTTAACAAAAACTGGATATACCTCATTTTGCAACGAAACGCAAATTTCGGGACAAAAAAAAAGCATCTTTTTATGCAGGTACATTTCAAAAACCATCCTAGTCCTATGTATATGAGGGTTATGAACCTAAATTGATAAACAGTTTTAGCATATTGTACAATGGCTTCGTGTAGGAGAAAAGTGCGATTTTCTCGAAACCCAAATTTTGGATATATTGCATTTTGAAAATCAACTCTTCATATATATATATATATATATATATATATATATATATATATATATATATATATATATATATATATATATGTTGGTACCTGCAGCCATATTGTCATTATCTCTTTCTGTCAAAAGGACTTTACAAACTTACTGTGTGCCAACTATAACAAATCCAGCAACTAAAGAACTTTTTTCAAAGTTCTAACAATTTAATTAAATTTAGAGACATTATATTCAAACTACGATAATCCTTTTTTGGCAATTTTTGTGCTATTCATACATTCACATTTAAAATATTGACAAGAATTGGTCTGATGTGAGAAAAATAAAATGATTTTAAAGAAAAAAACAGCTTTATCATTTCTATCTGCTGAAAACTGTCAAAATTCTAACTTCGTATTGGGCTATGCCAGGGATCGGCAACCATTTGAGACGGAAGAGCCAATAGCTACAATTTTCAAAATTTCCCAGTTTCTAAAGAGCCACCAACATTTTTTATTTCAATATTTAGTATTTGACTAGGATTAGGTAAATTAATTTTATTAGTTATTTAAAATAAATACCCTTAAATATGAAATAATATTTATTCATATAACATACACATGTTTCGCCAGGATAATGAACTTAGTTATCAAATAATATAACTATAGGACTATCGCAATCCACTTTAGAAGCTGTTAACTATGTTTTCCTTTCTTTCATGATATCACCGGCTCCCTTGAATCCCTTGAATCATCATTTAATTATACATTTGCATTTTCATGTTTTTTTTTTATTTATTTTTAAATTTTTTAATATTTAGACGTTTTGTATTAGATCTATGTATAAGTAAACCATCTTAAATGAATGAAAGTAGGCTACAAGTAAGAAAGAAATATTACTATTGTAAATCTGTATCAGTCGCTGTAAATTACATGTCTGAGGCCAAAAAAAAATTAAAAAAAAAAATATAACCGGCTCAGAAGGTGTCTCCCATTAGCCAGGCAGGCTCTAACACGAGAAACTCCGACTAACGGGCTTGGGTATCTGATTGATTACCGGGTACTGGTCGCTCTTTGTTCTCGCCAGGCTTATCTTCCACCCCACTGAACGCAGGGTCAGCTCGTAACCCAAGCGTCCAGTACCTGGCTCAACAGTAGGAAGCTAATAACTAAAAAACTACGTCACTGAGGTCAAATTGATGATTACTGACAGATAAGGACATGCTTTCTGAATAAAATAACATTACACATTTAACTATATTCGAAAAAGTCGACACTTCTGCAGTGACAAGCATGGAATTGTTGTCACGGGGCTGGCTACAGCACGGCTGTGGGGCTGGGCCTGGTGCCCAAGCAGCTGCCAGCTGTCGGTATACTTTCTACTGCACCTATTCTCACTGGTTTCTGATGAGTGTTTTTATCCTTTTTTATCAACTTTAGAGTTTCTTTACAGTAAAAT